CTAATTTTGTCTGCCTGTCCCAATACTGGTGCACAACCAGGGTTAACATTACTACGCGATTGTTTGCAAATTTCGTACCAAATGCTAGTCTCCTATCTATGTCCACAAATTTATATCGTATGTAGTATGTTATCATGATAAAATATATTACCATGGACACTATATACGCGCCCATTTGGATGATGAATATGCCGACAAATATATCGAAAGCTACTATGCTCACTAGTAAACTCAGGCTATACATTTTAGCGAGATTAATTATAGATACTATGTATGTAATCGCAATGACAGGAGATATGGAGGAATAATATACAATTGTTGAGTAGTCAATTATAATGGTGATAAACTTGGTTATTTTAGACGTATCATGATTATTTAGGGCGTATGTGACGGACCCATACTTTAAGTCATAAAGCATTTCTGATACATACAGGGTGTGAGTCCACTCTTGCCATAGACACACATATAGTATAAATAATAACGATACGAATATAATGAGCAAGCTCGTGTAAAATAGTGTGGGCTCATTGCTCACATATTCGCTATAATCCAACGGTTTTAATAAAGGTATTCCACCCAGGCTAAACGTGATCAAATAGATTAATAGTAATAAGGATATGATTTGGCTCATAATAACCAGAGACAAACGCTTGGGCTGATATTGTCCGGACACATATTCATCGGAACTTGAATATATGTTCACATATTTGGCAGCAAGGAACTTTTCCACCCTCGCGATCCCGTCCCCCAATTTGCTGTTATTAGCGAAGTGATTGTGAACTTTGTGTTGAATTTGCGATTTACCCTCCTCATATCTCTCTTGCAATCTTTTCATCAGTGTCAACTTTTAATATTTATAAATATTATTAGTAGTATTAATTAATATTAATTAGAACTATTATTTTAAATTAAAATATAATTACTAAATAAATATAAAACTATATTTTAAGAATAAGCTTTGTAGTTACAAACAAATTTGTGACTTCTAAATGGCATTAATATAATATTATCTATATTTTATGTTTATTCAAAAATAAAGCAAATATTCATCTATTGATAGACTTAAAATTAACATTACGGTAAAAAATACTGCTAATATAGTTGAAAATATTTTGAATAGGCATACTAAAATAAGTATTTTTAAAATCTATAATTAATGTTCCTAATGTATTGATCTTATTTGAAATAGTTGTCAGTATAATACTGTATAATACTGTAAATTGAGGTCATTTTTGAATATTGATTTAGTGAGATATTTCATTGCTTGTGAGACTTTATTATAAATCCTCATTTATTTAATTGAACATGAATATTCATTGATAAGTATTTTGTGTCTGCACGACAAATACGCATTGTTTAATTAATGATATATTATAAAATGGCTTATGATATTATTTACAGTTTACTGTTATAATTTTATTGATTTTATAATTAACAAAAAAAACAAATAATATTTCTACTACATATTTAAAATGAATAATGAAATGTTGAATAGAAAATATTCCCTAAATATATTTATATTTTGTATTATTGTAACCATAGGTGTCCAAAATTTTTTAAATCTCTAAATTTGTGTTTTATAATAATAATAAACTTATCAACTATTCCAAACACTAATATTTTATGATTTAAAAGTGACAAACATGGACATACCAAATCACCTATATCATCTAGGACCTACTGTCAATTTCAACCGAACATTTAACATCAATTGCTATCAATTAGTTTAGTGGACGCGATATACACCTCATTATAGATTAAAACAATATTTTTAATCATTTCATAAACAATGGTCTCGCGGCCATTATAGACGGTATCGTAAAATAGTTTGTTGCATACATTTCTTTTGTAGCATTTAACAAACAGTTTATTTTTTATTCACGTTATAACTAGAAAATTAGTCTTGTATAATTTATAAATAAAATAATATGCAGTGCATGAATTATGATTTTATGAAAGTGGTAATCGTTTGGTGTTTAGAATTATTTAAAATAAATTACATAAATAGTGATAATTTTATTATAAAACATGTTTTGTATATGATTTCTAAAAACAAAACAATCAATCCAAATGTGAAACAATAGCCAATGAATAGGAAAAGAGATTTAAATGTGTTATAAGTCAACGGCTCATATATGGAGATGGGATCCATGTAAAAGTCATGCAGATGTCTGTCCCCTAGAATACGACTCCCATCGATAATTCTTCGATAAACCTGATAGTAATAGTCGGCTAATGAATTATCCCAGTGTTGGGAAATCGATGTCTCAAATATGCGTTGAAATCTATTACATAATAATAATATTTATATTTATATTATACATAGAAATATATTTAAAACTCACATAACATAGGCCTGATTTGTGTGTTGAAAGTCTGGTGCATAACATAGTGGTGTCAAATAAATAGGCAAATCTGGTCGACCGATATGGTAGGGCAAGAGACGCGAAACAAATGATACGACCGTACTCATAAATACTTTGTTTGTAATAATTGCTACATTTTTAAATATTTCATAGAAACTCGTTTGCTTTCCGATAATATTTAATAGTTGCTGGCTGTCCATTTGGCGTAACCGTTGTAGCATTTGTATGAATTTAGATTGAAATATGGGCTCAAATTGCGAGTAATATTCAGGCGATTGAAAGTCTTTATACGAATAATAATCGGCATAAACCTCGAGTCTGTCATCAATTAAATCATCAATTGTTTCCACATTCATGACATCCCTGTCCACCATTTGGGCCGTTAAGTCGTTTTGTAGGATATGTACTAATGGTGTGATCGATAAAACCCATAATAAAT